AGTAGCCAAGAGTTGGCGGTGGGTGGTGATTACTAGTTGTCCTTCCTCTAGTCTTACACTAGCTAAATTAGGGACGGCTAGTAGCAGATAGCCCTCGTGTAGCTTTGCGCGAAATCCATAACAAACTCACTACTGGCTGTGTGAGCTTTAATCTAATTTTCTGCCATCTCACTAACCAATAACGAAGACTAATTGAATTCGGATAGCTTTTCGACACCAGCCGTGAGGACTAAAGATCAATTGGCTGGATTATATTCTTAGAGTAAATGACTCGTTCTATTTGCCATAACCTATATACATGGTCATTTTATTATCTAATCTTCTATATAACCACACAACTGTACAATTACTATACGGTATGTCTGCGGACTTAAAACGCTAGAAACCGGGTTTCGATACCCGTGGTGGGCAGAACACAGATTGCGTAGCTTTGTGCTCAACTTCAAACAAACAAACTGTACACTCGCTAAAGAAAACAAACTAAATAAAGTAGTTTTTATTTTTATTTTATTTTGAGGGGAGGGGGATTAGGTTATTTTAAATTTGAAAACTCCTTTAACTTACCGCTCGTCCAGGTGCAAAGTGTAATGTTTGGGTTTTCCGTAGAATATTCAATTCTTTTTTTATTATACATCGTCTTTAAACTCAATGATTACTTTCACTAAAAGTATAAGCCTTGTGGCTGGCGTACCCGACTGTGAATCTGAATCTGTCAAAAAAACGCACTCTGCACTTCGGGGCCGTGGGTGAGTTTGATGAGTGCCAGTTTGTTTGTTTGTTTGTTTTAGAGCAAATCAATATTGGGCTATTTGCTGTGTCCACCGACTGGAATCGAACCCCGCGCACTCTGCACTTCGGGGCCGTGGGTGAGTTTGATGAGTGCCAGTTTGTTTGTTTGTTTTAGAGCAAATCAATATTGGGCTATTTGCTGTGTCCACCGACTGGAATCGAACCCCACATTTTAGCATTGTAAACGTGTAAGCTTACCGAGGACATGAATGACTGTCAAATGCAACTGTTCAATTAATGTTGGTGCTGTTGACTAGCTACTTTCCCTTTAATTTTCTGTTGGTTCGTTTATGTTAAAGCGCTAATACAGCTATCTCTCGCCTTCCGTTATTTTGAGTTGCCAACAACAGGAAAGACAACTGGTTATCAGAACCTACCGCAAACTCTTGTGTTCCTCTTTAACAATGAATAGTGGGATCGACCACCACATTATAATGACTCCATGGCTGAAAATGCGAGCGTGATTGGCACTAAGCTTCGATCTCGGGACCCGTAGACGACTAACCAATGGCTCTAATAATTAAGCTATGCCAAACCGCTCTGGTCTTCTAATTGCAAATCATTAGTGAGATTGAAAATCTCTTAAAATCGAATAATACAGAAAGTTACATTTAATATGTTGTTTTCTTTTTCGATGAACTGAGTCCTCCAAAATGTCCAGCTCAAGGTTCTGATGGGTGCCCAGTTGGCAAGATA